TTCATGGATCTCCCACAGGGCATAGTTAGCTTTTTCGACTGAAAGGCACCACAATATGTAAGAAGTAACCTTTCTTGTATAAGGTGTCTTGTAAGATGGTAAACTTGGCTCTCATCCTGAGCTTCCTGTCTTTCAGGGGGTCATTTGGCAATAAGTTCTCTTGGAGGTATGTCCTTATCGGGGTCATTTAGTTTGATTTGGCAGACGCACAGTTGATGTTTGTGGCTTCCACATCTAGTCTGCTTGGTTTAAACTAGTGACCGATAAATGTTGGTCCTGGTGAGACTTCCAAGGATAAGGCGAGCCTGACGAGGGCATCGGCGCCATGTTGTCCTCCCTCGGGATATAGCAGATCTGGAAGTGGTGGAACTTAGTAAGCAAGGTTCGCACCATAGCAAAGTACTCCTGCATTCTGGCTCATTTTGCCTCAAACTCTCTCTTCACTTGGTTGACTATAAGTTGGGAATCACTATAAGTGACAAGGTGTTGGGTTTCCATTTCGATTTCCATCCTTAGACCAGAGATAAGGGCTTCATATTCCGTCTCATTTTTAGAGGCGACGAAGTGGAGCTTCACAACATACTTGATTGGAATGTCGTCGGGGCTGATCAAGATTAGGCCTCTTCCACCTCCTTCGTTGGTCAAGAATCCATCTATATAGAGCTTCCAGAGGAGTAGAGAGAGGAAGGCTCAGAGGTCACTGTGGGATCTTGGGTGCTTGGGTGTTTGGCCTGGGCGCCTGGGTATCTTCGTCGGGTGTCAGATTGTTTTGCATGCCTAGGCTCGACGTTTGAGTGTCCGAATATGTTGAAGTTTGCTGGATTGTGGAAGGCTCGTTGCTCTGCTCCTCTGCTCATGCGAGTTCCACAATAAAATCTGCCAAGACTTGTGCTTTGATGGCCGCCCTTGGTTGGTACTGGATATCGAACTCGCCCAGTTCCACTGTCCACTTAAGGAGTCTCCCAGACACATCCGACTTTCTCAGAACTCTCTTCAGAGGCTGGTCCATGACAACAACAACGGTGTGACTCTGAAAATAATGTCGTAGAGGCCTTGCTATTGAGATCAGGTTGAGCGCCATCTTTTCTAGCCCTGAATATCTGATTGTTGCTCATCGGTATGCTCTGCTCACATAATAGATGGACTTTTGTACTCTATTGTTGTCTCTGACGAGAACGGAGCTTACTACCGATGAGGAAGTAGAAAGGTACAGATATAAGATTTCACCTGGTGTAACATGTGAGAGGAGGGGAGGCGTAGTCAAGTAGGATTTGAGCTTTTAAATGGCTTCATCTGCATCAAGTCCCCATTCGAATTTGTCTCCTGAGGTCGTAGCAATCATCGGTGTTGTGGTCGTGGTCACGATGGAAGCGACAATATTTGTTCGAATTCTTGCGAATTGGGGGAGACTTCATCCTCCTTGGCCATTTTATTGTGGGGTCATCCTAAATCTCGAATAGGATGTGCCCGATAGCAACATTGAGAGGGGTGAAGGCTTGTCATTCTCTCTGAGGAACAAGACCAAGATGGTCTTTGGCGGGTACCCTCTCTGTCCGGGTGCGCTTGTTGCCACTCTCCTTCTTGTCATCCATGTCTCTCTCCTTTCTCTTCTCCCTTGTTTTGGAGGACTCACCTCGTCTGGCCCTTGTGGTGTCCTCAATATTCATGTATTTTTTAGCTTTTGTTAGCAGCTTTGGCATGTTCTTCGGTGGGCGCTTCATCACTAAGAAGAGAAAGTTTGATGACTAGAGGTCTCCCAAGAAGGAGATCATGGTGACTTTATCATTAGGCTCCTCGATCTGAAGGACCTCCTCGTTAAAACGAGTGAGGTAGCTCCTTAGGCTCTCATCTTGGTCCTGTTTTATGCTGAGTAGGTGGGTGACAGGCTTTTGGTGGCGGCGTTCTCCAATGAAATGCGACATGAAGGACCTGTTTAGCTCAGCAAAGGAGCCAATGGAGGCTGGGGAGAGCTTGGCAAAACATTGTCGGGTTGATCCCTTCAAGGTAGTTGGGAATGCCCTACACATGATTTCGTCGAGGACGTTGTGCAACTGCATTAAAGTTTTGTAAGTTTTCAGGTGATCAAGTGGGTCTCCGGAACCATCAAAGATTTCGACATATAACATTTTGAATTTCTGGGGAGAGGGTAATTTATCACATCTGGCACAAAGGTGTGTCAGTTCGCCTAACAAGGTAGTCCACGGTCTCCGGTCTTTAAGCCTTCATGGCGTTAAAGACGTCACCCAGTTGATTTTGTACTTCTTTTATTTTTCATCCCAGTGATTGGGAGCTCTTTTGAAATTGTCGTGAAAATAACTTTCATGCTCCACGCTTTGATTTTTACCCTCATCTTTTTGGAAAAGAGAATCTCCACCATGAGAAGCAAGAGTTGGAGGTGGAGGTGGAGGTCCCTCATGGTGAGCTCCCCTGTGTGGGACGCCCAAGTGGGGAGCTCCTTGACCCCCAGGGCGCGAAGCTCCTCTGGCTTGGGGTCCAATGGGTTGTGCTCCTCCTTGTTGTCCGACGAGCATCAGCTACAAGATTTGCTGGTTCTGAGCCACAAGCTGCTGCATTGTCTCCAACATCTGTTGTGTATTTGGAACAGGATTAGTTGGTGGAGGAGCAACCTCCTCTTCTCGAGGTGGATTATCCTCAGGCTGATTCATCGATCTGGTGGTAATCGTCATAGGTACAGCAAGAAAAGTGATTAGATGAGAATTTTGTTGATTTTTACAAACGGCGTTAAACTGATGATGCACAAATTGGGTTTGCACACCACCTGTCAAGTGATTGATAATTAATGCAGTAGTAAAATAGAGAGACACAAGCAAGATAAGGATTTATAGTGATTTGGTCAACGTGACCTACGTCCACTTTAAATGCTAGGGTCGCAGGGGTATTTTATTACTTCAAGTGTGTAGGGAGAGCAAAGAGTTACAAGCTGAGAGAGCTAGGAAAGATGTGCTCGACTGAATTTGTTCTGCCCCCCAAGTGTTGACGGGACTTACAATTTATAATCGTCTCTTAACAAATTGGGGTGACTTAATAGTAACTAAATAGTTAATCTGGTGGTGTTGGCAACATCTTCTCAACGGATGAGATAGTTACGGTGCTCTCCATAAGATTCGGTCAAAAGATGAAGTGGAAGTTAACTCTTTCTAATGTAACTCCTCAAACTCTGATGAACTTGATTGAACGTGGAGCACTTTGACTGGACTCACTGAATCTCTCCTAAATCGAGCTCTTAACTTAAACTAAACTTATAACATGAATTGAGCCTTGGAGCTTGGCCCATCAATGCATAGCCCATCAATGCATATGATAGTGATAACGCATCAAGTCGAAGCTTAAAAAGAAACAGTCGGAAAACGCACACTTCCATGGATAACCAATCACACCGACGACATCGCCAGAGCAACTCTCAGCATTCAGCAACCAAAATTAAGCACTGGGATCCATGCACCGATATTTGGGTCCTATTGTAATAGAGCATCATGAACTTCTGCGTACACATATACTAAAGCAAGATGAAATAAGTGTAGATTAAACTGAAGCAAAGAAGTAAGAACATAACCCAGAGCATTACTACCATCCATAATAAGAAGTATTGAATCATAAGCTGAATTTCCAAGCCAAGCCAAGCCAGCCAGAAAGAACATGCGACGAGGTTTAAATAAGAAGACGACAAAACAAATGTGAATCATCCTTATATAGTTCGCTGCAATTTTACATTGAAATTCAATTCTCGTACAATAAAATAAGAACCAAGAAAAAAACACAAATCAAGGAGAAAAATGAAGGACAATGAGAATAAAACTAAACCTTCCCTCGTAACACAAATGACCTAAAATAGTCACAAGCCGAATCATAGGCAAATGACTGACAAGCAAACAAAACTACCACCTAAAATTCATCGCCAGCCATCCAACACCAATGATGGCTTGGCTCCAAAAATCTAAAAGAAAGCACATCATGGTTCAAACTTATAACCTCAAGCATTCAATTATAGCAGTATCCTCTATCTAGCAATACCCCAAGCTTCAAATGCAACCAATCTCGCATGACTCAGGACCTCGCAAAGAAGACGACAAGGACATAACACCACCCAACTCAGAAGCATTTCCGATGGACAATAGCTGGACCAGATTCATCATATTCACCCTTGGATATCCACATCTGCAAAATTATAAAAAACATAAGCATGGCAGCTTCAAAAGTATTATGAAACTATAATGCCATCATTATTTCTGTACAATTCGAAACCTTTTCTCTTCTTTCCATTTAATACCCATTTAGCAACCAATTAGAGGCTGCTGGCACAAGTACACACATTCAGACATGAGCAGGGGCGCACACACAATATATACCTGCTGGAAGGTGCTGAGAGAAGCTAAAATGGATCCTCCAATCCAGACACTGTACTTCCTTTCAGGAGGTGCCACCACCTTGATCTTCATGCTGCTAGGAGCAAGGGCAGTGATTTCCTTGCTCATACGATCAGCGATTCCAGGGAACATGGTTGAGCCACCACTGAGCACAATGTTGCCATAAAGATCTTTCCTAATATCAACATCGCACTTCATGATGGAGTTGTAGGTGGTTTCATGAATTCCAGCAGCTTCCATTCCAATGAGTGATGGCTGGAATAGGACTTCTGGGCAGCGGAACCTCTCTGCTCCAATAGTGATCACCTGCCCATCTGGCAACTCATAGCTTTTCTCTACAGAAGAGCTGCTCTTGGCAGTCTCCAACTCTTGTTCATAATCCAGGGCAATATAAGCAAGTTTCTCCTTCATGTCACGAACAATTTCCCGCTCTGCAGTTGTAGTGAAGGAGTACCCTCTCTCAGTGAGGATCTTCATCAAGGCATCTGTTAGATCACGACCTGCAAGGTCCAACCGAAGGATGGCATGGGGAAGGGCATAACCTTCATAGATTGGCACTGTGTGGCTGACACCGTCACCAGAATCCAAGACAATACCTATTCAAATTCAAACACCCAAATATTAATTTTATATACAGAAGACACAAATGCACTTGTGCAGAAAAAATGTATTCAGAAAATGCAGTAAAAATATACGTGCAGAGAAACCCTGGAAAATTAGTCCAAAAATCCAACAAAAACTGTGCTATAGAAGTATCAGTACAAACCTGTTGTACGACCACTGGCATAAAGAGACAGAACAGCCTGGATGGCAACATACATGGCAGGGACATTGAACGTCTCAAACATTATCTGGGTCATCTTCTCCCTATTGGCCTTGGGGTTCAGCGGTGCTTCTGTTAGTAGTACAGGGTGCTCTTCCGGGGCAACACGGAGCTCGTTGTAGAAAGTGTGATGCCAGATCTTCTCCATATCATCCCAATTGCTGACAATGCCGTGTTCAATTGGGTATTTCAATGTGAGAATACCTCTTTTTGACTGTGCTTCATCACCAACATAAGCATCCTTTTGCCCCATCCCAACCATTACACCAGTATGTCGAGGTCGGCCAACAATACTGGGGAACACAGCCCTTGGAGCATCATCACCAGCAAATCCAGCCTGCAGATTTCAGAAGAAAGTAAGCCTCAACTCTTGGGCATTTAAAACAAAAGTCACCAAAGATAATGCCTAAAGGAGATAGGCCATGTTATTTTTCATTCAAAGGGAACAAATCTCTCAATAATTGAAATAGTCGAGAAAGTAACACATTTTATCAAAATCCTAAATGCAAATTTACATAAAGAATTGAGGGAGTAAAATTAGGGTCTTTCAAAAGAAATAAAACTAACCTTAACCATTCCAGTTCCATTATCGCAAACAAGGGGTTGAATGTCCTCAGCATCAGCCATCTTTTATAACCTCACTAACAGAAGATGGTGTGAGGGTCTATGAAAAAAAAACATAAAATTTGCACTATTCAAAGTAATATAAAACACAGGTTATACATTTCTGTATTTAGTCACATTTCATCAACAACTAGTAATATTTGAAAAAAATAAATAGTCCTAAATACTGTAAAACACAAATATAATACCAACTAATTTAACAGATCGAACAGGTTTTTTATTTTTATTAGGAAAAGTGCAAACTACTTATGGTAGTTAAACTGATATGACACCAAAGGGTAAGCACTAAGCACAAAGCGGGAACCAACTCCCAAGCTAATACTAGATGAAAAGCACCCAATATGAAAGCTGAGATTTGTAAGAGATCATGTTCAATAATGCCCTAAATCATGCTGTTCCATCTGAGATGACATTGTCCATCACCAATCCATTCCATTTCTAAACTAAGTCACCATCACTATGTCATTAATTTCAAAAGTGTCAATTATAACATCAGTTGGAAATTTGTTCTTGCAATTTTTCAAAGCTCAGACAAAAAAAAACAACTAGATCAACATTAAAATTCACAAAAGGCAGGATCTTGATCTACTATAAGTCAAAAAATTCTCACAAAAAATTTTATTTGAGAACAAGCTCTGATGAAATATAAGTCAGATGAAAAATTACATCCCCACTATCAAAGCTAACAATCTCTGATGAATTATAAGTCAGCCTCAGAATTTTCTTTCCAGATGAAACAAAATAATGCAAGATCAAAACAGCAGTATTGAACAGAACAGAGAGCCGGGAATCACAGGACAGAGAGAAAAATTCAAATCCATTAAAATCCACCCACCAAATTTTACAAGATTCCAAGCTTTCATTTCTTTTCCTACAACTGTCTGAGAATAAACAGAAAAACCCAAAAGACCATAATCAAATTGAGCAGTTTTGGCTTATCAGAGAACTTGAAGCTTTCATTTTTCTTTCTTCCTTGCAATTTATTAGCCATAACTACAACAATTACACACAAAAATTAAAAAATTAACTGTGAGATCGAGAATAATCTGATCTGGGTCGCCACAAATACAGATCAAAATGTCTAAATTGGTGGAAAATAGATCTATATCAGAGCGATCATCAAGATGAACATACAAAATTTTTAGGAGAATCTAACAGATTGCAATGTAGTTACCTGTTTGAGTAGAGAGACGGTGAGAGAGAGAATCTAAATGGGAAAGCTCACTTTTTTCACACTACAGAGCCTGAGCAGAGGAATGTATGTCCGTGTGACTGTGTCTGTGTGGGAATGCTAAAGAAATAAAAGATTCCTAGCTTTAGGAAAAAGCTAAATTGAAGTGAAATGCAAATGAAATGAAGTCCAAATTCACTCTCTCGTTATTGGGTGATCCACTGACCTGTTGTTTGGTTGTAAAGAAAAAGGCAGCCAGATACGAGAAAAGGAATCTCGGGAGTTTTAAAAGTTTTAAGTTAAATTTTTTGAGGTGTGCAAAATTTTGGATGCTATCGGTCGGTCTAATAGTCACTCAATTGTTTTTTAACTACTAGTATTGTTTGACGAATAATTTAGAATGGTAATATTGCCTACAGAAAACTACAAATAAATAGTTTATATTTAAATTCAGAAGCGTACTATTGTGTTAAGGATTTTTTTCAAAAGATTTTTAAACATTTTGACAATTCTAAATTTTAATTAATTTATTTATTTGTAAAAAATACGTATCTAATATTATATACACTAGTTGGCACTCCGTACGATACACATAATTTGTTATCTCTTTCTATTATCGTCTTGCTATCAAACTTTCCGTTATCATAATATCTTTAGACAATTTTGAAGTAAGAAAGATGATTGAAAGTTTAAATTTTAAAGTAATTTAAAGAAAGAGGGTGGAAGTAGTTACAAAAAAATATATGTAATATTTTGATTGAAGAAAACTATTAATATATTTCAAAATTCTAATAAATTAGCATTTAGAACTGAAAGCCTTCTGAAGGTCTCTCATCCCTAATTTGATTGTTTTATAGTGTAGCAAGATTTGTAGAGAGAGAGATATGTGAATGAAAATGATTTTATGAAATTTGAATTTATAAGTTAAGTGACGTCTATAAGGATGAATAAATATTTATGTCCTTTTAAGTTATTGAAGGACTAGTAATTGCATGTACTTGAAGGCACTATATAACTCGTAAAAAAAAAAATTGCAAGGAATTGTTCACGCTCCAATACATTGTATAACACAAAATATCCTATCAAGAAAATTGAAAAAAATTGCAAATCAATATGAGCCATTTTTTCAAAAAAAAAATCGACAAAAGGATAATAATGTCATTAATTATTTTAATAAGGGTGTACTAATCAATTAAAATAAATTTAAGGTTAGAGACTTTTATTAGTAATATAGATACAAGTATAAATAAGTAAATCTATAATAGAATACGGTAATCTTATTGTGAAAAATATAATTCATAAATTAAAAGGCAACTACATAAAATTTGTAAAATAATAATCAAATATAATTTTATTTTACAAACTAAATTTTTTATTTTTAAAATGACTTAAAAAATTATCTTTCCACACTTAATATCTAAATTACCATAAAATCTCTATGTATTTAAATCTCTAAATTACATCTAAGATTACTTTTAATTATCTATCTATGTATACATGTCAATTTTTATGAAATTTTTTGATTAATTATATTACTCTTTAAAAATATGTGCATTATTATAAATTTTAACAATATATTCAAAAAAATCTTCAAAAACTCCATCAATGTAATATTACTCATCTCATTTATAAAGATAACATTATGACAACATATGTATATTTTATTTTTCATCAAAATATTTAACCCTTTTATTTTTAAGATAAAAAAATGTATATATAGTTTTACATGACTCTTTGGTCATAGTAAACTTTTTAAACTGTGTTAAGATTTTATGTGAAAATAGATTGTACTTGAATTTTTTTTTAATTTTAATATGTTTTATAATACATATTATAGCGTAGTATATTAAATCTTATTTCAATTGACTTAACTAATCCTAAATATAATAAGGTTTTAATATGATTGATATATTGATTATTATTTTTTTTTATTTAATGATCTATAAGTGAAAATCTTAATCAAATTGATTTTAAAAAATTTAATTTTCAAATATTACCAAAAAATCACTTTCAATTATAAAATTCTAGAAAAAATAGAACTTTTATTATTTCTTCTTCTTTTTTTATCTTTTTTCTTAAAATTAGAACAACAAATCTTAAAATTGAATAAGTTGTAATAAATATATAGGAAGCGATGAGAAGTAAAATTTGCTAATAGAACGTAACAGCATGGAAAAAAACACAAGGGGCCTAGACCGGAAGAACACACAGACACTCTCTAAGGATGACATGAAGTATAGTCGCACCTCAACACCATTAAATTAATAACCAATTAAATATTCCAAAGAAAGTAAAGATAAAAGGAGCGTTTATTTTTTATGATTAAAATTAGAAAAAAAATTATTTTTTTTATCATTTTTTATTTCATATTAATCAAACACATAAAATTTAAAAATATATATATTTTTTCTATTTTTTACCATTATTTTACTAAACAAATGAACCCTTAACATGATGTTAAGGGTCACTAAACCACTTAGCTTGGTGATAAATTTAGAGTGCCGGGGCGACTCATGATAAATGCATGCAATGTTCAAATTCCAAAAGTATAATAAATATATTTATAATCATGTGAGATTGTTCAAGGAAAATGATAAGTGTAGTAAATTTATTAATTAAATTATATGAATCGTTAAATAAAGTGAAAATTCTAATCCATTTACAACCAACCTACAACATTGGCATTTGGAGGGGATAATTGAAGAGTCCAAGTACCATTTTGAAGCAAGGTATTAAATTCGGTTGTTGAATGAGGTAAGTTGTTTTATTTTTTGGGTGCCCATGAGCCATAATGAATTTACTTTTATGATTATTTGTGTTTATATAGAGGTAGTGAATTTTAATTAGTTTAAATTTAGTATTTAATGTTTTATACGGATGTTGATTTATGATTGTAGCGTGATTTTAAAGAGGACAAAATATGTACGTTCAATCGAGTAGTTAACAAGTATGCTTTCAAGGACATAATTTTATGTCATTTAGTTATTTCTAACAGGTAAATTTTTTTTAGTTCATTTGGGAATTGAAACTTGAATAATAAAAATTAAAAACTAAAATTGTTTGAAAGTTGAATTTAAACATTTATAGTAGGGTTATTATTAGTTAACTAAAGCTAACGGTAACTACCCGTGCCTATTAAAACAATCATGCACAGGTGTTTTATCTAGCTGCAATGTTATGTTAAAACGTTTATGTTTGTGTGTTAACACAGCTGCTCACAACCATTGTGTATCCAAATACGTTGAATACTACACAATGGACAACGTCACCATTTTTGGTCACATAAGTTATTAACTTCATAATCCCTTTTGTTTTTTATTTTTTTAGTGACACTAATTATTTCATAATCTACTTTTGTGTTGAGTGTATTAGTGCGTGTGTGCATGTTTGTTGTTGTGTGCATATGCGATGTGTGTGTTATATGTGTGCGACGAATGTGATGTGTGTGCGTGTATATGTGCGATTTTGTCATTGTGTGTGAGTTGAAAGACAAAGAGGATGAAGGGTGTGTGTGTGTGATGAAAAGGGGTGGGGAGTGCATATAGAGAGAGAGGAAAAAAAAAGGGAGGTACTTGGGCAGAGAGAGGAATATATGGCAGAGGAGCAATCTGTTGCATGTGTGTGTTTGACTGTGTGTGTATGTGAGAGAGAGAGAGAGAGATAGGTATCTGATCGAAGAGGAGCAATGGCAGAGCGAAGGAAGAGAGAGAGAGAGATGACACCTAGCTTGGGAAGGAGATAACATCCGGGGCTTGGGTTGGGTGTTTGACTAGGTGGGTGGGTGGTGGGTGTAGTTAACTTGGACGAGATTTGGTTTTTGTGTGGAATGTGTTGTGAGTCGTTAGATTAAGTTTGATGAATTTAGATAAAATTTAAACCATTTAATTTAAAGAGAATTAAATATGAACCGTTCTTTTAATTTTTCAATTTTAAAGAGATAAAAAGATTCAAATTCACCTATATCTTATTAGTATAGATTGATAACAAGTTTAATTATATTTGGCCATCAATTTGACTTTGATTAACAAATTTTTTTTCATTTATAAAATTTGAATTTAAAAAGTAAATCAGTTTTTTTGCATCTCAAAAAAGTTTACAAAAACATTTTTTTTAATGTTTTTGATAATTATTTAGTACTATTTGTATTACTATTAGTTTTCTACATCACTATGTCCTCCTGATGACATGTGAATATACCACTATTCCTGATGATATACCATTCCGTGAGGAAAAATGGCTTCAATATCATATAGAAAAAAAAGTTGTCATGTGATTAATCAAGAAAGAGTGTAGTAGACTATATTGAACTGCATAAATTTGAATTGAATCATTTTTTTTGAGTAAATTACACATATGACTCTTAAATTATAATTTTTGTGTCAATTAAGCTCTTAAATTTTTTTTTTGTCAATTGAGTTCTTGAACTCTTTAATTGTGTAAATTAAGCCTTTTTTTTCGTCTCCGTTAAAGTGTCACTCACGTGACTATATGACACAAAAAGACGAAAAAGCTTAATTGCACAATTCGAGAGTTAAAAGGCTCAATTGACACAAGAAAAGTTTAGACGCTTAATTGATACAAGGGTTATAGTTTGAGGATTATATGAGTAATTTATTCCACTTATTTATGTCACGCAGAGACAGAAAAAATAACTCAATTAACAGAATTAGAGAGTTCGAGAGTTCAATTGACACACAAAAAAAAGTTCAAGAACTTAATTGACATAAGAGTCATAGTTTGAGGACTATATGAGTCCATTTAGATGTATTTGTTTGGAGATAAGTCCTGCAAGAAAACTTGCAAGGGGCTAAGTCCATGTTTAAAATTATATGTAATGACTTAAATCTATTTTTTATTTTTTTATATCAAAAATACTTTTCTTTGAAAGGAAGTTAATTTTTTCTCTTTCATATCTATCTATATCCATATATAGGTTAAGAATTTTACTAACATTAAAATGTTTCCTCTCTCTGAGGTTAGGTATATATATATATATATATATAATAACATTAAAAAAAATAGTAACATTCAAATACATAAAAAAGTTACTATGAATTTGAATAGTAAAATTCAAATTCATGTTACTATTTTTTTTATTATGTTACTGTTTTTGTTTAGTAT